CTACGACTATAACATTGATGGGTACATCCTTAGCTGTGTTGAACTGTTTAAGAATCTAGGCATAACTTTTGACAGCAGATTGACTTTCATCGATTACATTAATAATGTTGCATCGAGTGCGTTTCGGACTTATAGTTTTATTTACCGCAATTGTAGAGATTTTACAGATATCCGTGCATTCAAAATCTTATTTTATTCCCTCGTCAGATCTAAAATGGAGTATGGTTCCATAATATGATATCCAATATACAACATACATCGGCAAAGGTTGATGGAGTCAGTTCAAATGCGATTTTTAAAATTTCTGGCATTTACGCAAGATGGTGTCTATCCACCACAAGGTTTTAATCATATAGATCTCTTGAATCGTTTTGGGCAAGAATCACTGGAAACGCATCGCAATATTTTACTCATGCGATACTTATTTAATCTTCTAAATAACATAATTCATTGCTCTGTTCTATTAAGCAAAACTTACTTCCGCGTATACAGGGTGTCCGGTAAGTACCTCCTAATCTCTCGGGAGTGTATAGGGGAGGTCAAAATAAAACTAGTCCTTCCTATAATTTTTTTTCCTAATGTGCCCCCTAACGGAGTTATGGGGGGTCAAAGGGGTACCTAGAAATTAACGTTTAGGGTTATAACTTTGAAACCACCCTGTATATTTTAATAAAATTTTCGTACGTTGTATTACACATGGAGCTCTACGATTTGATGCTAAAATCAACTTTTTGCTATTATCAGGTGTCCAGAAACGGACTGGCCCTATCACAATTTTTCTCAAAATTTTGACAGAAGTAATTTTATCAAACTGAAAATATTATTATTAGATACTCTGAAGGTTTTTCTTTAAAAATGGTACTCTTTATTTATTTCGAAAAAATGAACGGTTTGCGAGATAAATCGGTTTTGAAAAAAATTGGTAACAAATACAACAACAATTAAAATTTATTTTTTTTACATATTATTTCATGCATTTAATTTCTTTAACTTTATCAAGTCCAGAAATCTTTGAACGGGTTGGCTATACTTTATGAGCAAGTAGTGACCAATTAAAAATAACATTTGAAAAATAACTTACTTACAAGACATGCAACAAAGAACATTCAACAATGAACAAAGGTACCTAAATGTTACTTCGGTAGATGTTCAAAATGAGCACCCCGTACTTCAATGCACTTTCTAATCCTACGAATGTTTTCCCGGTGCACTTGAAATAATATTCCGTGATTATTGCGGAGATGGTCACAGTTCTGTGTTAGCCTCAGCAGAAGTTCCTCTCTACTATTTACGGGTGTTGAATAAACGTTATTTTTTAAATGACCCCACAGAAAAAAGTCTAATGGGTTTAGGTCGGGCGACCTAGGTGGCCATAATACAGGTCCGCCTCGACCTATCCATCGATCACCAAAAACATTCGTCAGATGTTGACGTACTAAACGATCAAAGTGGGGTGGTGCACCGTCATGCATGTACCACATTTCAGTTCTTATTTGAAGGGGCACTTCTTCTAACAAAATATTTAGATTTTCCTCTAAAAATTGCAAATAAAGAGCACCATTAAGTCTTTGCTCCAGAATAAATGGACCAATCAAATGATTCCCGATAATGCCAGCCCACACATTCACCATAAACCTTTGTTGGTAGCGAGTTTGAACTAAAGCGTGAGGGTTTTCTTCATCCCAGACATGTAGATTATGCGAATTAATTATGCCGTCTCTTGTAAAACCTGCTTCATCGGTGAACAAAATAGATGTACCAAAATTATGATTCCGAATATGATGCTGTAAAAACCAATTGGCGTATTGAAGTCTTTTTGGATAATCATCTGGAGACATAGCATGTACTTTTTGGATGTGGTACGGGTAAAGCAATTGTTCTTTCAGAGTTTCATGTACAGCCCATTTTGTAACATTGTTTTGCGCCGCAAGCTTCCTTATGCTATTTGAAGGATTATTAGCAACGTCTTCCAATATTTGTTCCTCTACATGAGGGTCTCGTACTCTCCTCGGGGCTCCTGCTCCACCACGGCGTGGCAAAAAGCTTCCTAAATAAAGGATTCGGAAGAAATTAGTTTCACTAACGTTTTTCACTTTTTTTTTTTACCTGTTTCTCTTAAACTACGATCAACTCTTTCAAAAGTTTTTGGACTCGGCAAATGTCGACCCGGAAACCTTTCCTCATAAAGTCTTCTTGCCTCCACGGAGTTGCATAATGCTTCCCCATAAATTAGGTGCATATCAGCATATTCTGCACAGGAATATTCTTCCATTTTTAAATGTTATTTCTAACGGCTTAAAACGAATACCACAATAAAATTGAATTTTTATTCTGTCACGCGCCTTTGACAAGTACTTTAAAATCAACAGGGTCTAACAACGAAAACAATAGAAAAGAACTCCATGGAGACAAGAGCAATAATAATTTGTAGATGTATTTTGGTCATAGATGTTGATTTTACAAGAAACGGCATTATTCATTCCCTTAATTCACCACCAGTAAATGTTTATGGTGAATCTGTAGGCTGGCACTAGCGGGAATGATTTTATTGTAAAAAAATAAATTTTAATTGTTGTTGTATTTGTTACCAATTTTTTTCAAAACCGATTTATCTCGCAAACCGTTCATTTTTTCGAAATAAATAAAGAGTACCATTTTTAAAGAAAAACCTTCAGAGTATCTAATAATAATATTTTCAGTTTGATAAAATTACTTCTGTCAAAATTTTGAGAAAAATTGTGATAGGGCCAGTCCGTTTCTGGACACCTGATAATAGCAAAAAGTTGATTTTAGCATCAAATCGTAGAGCTCCATGTGTAATACAACGTACGAAAATTTTATTAAAATATACAGGATGGTTTCGAAGTTATAACCCTAAACGTTAATTTCTAGGTACCCCTTTGACCCCCCATAACTCCGTTAGGGGACACATTAGGAAAAAAAATTATAGGAAGAACTAGTTTTATTTTGACCTCCCCTATACACTCCCGAGAGATTAGGAGGTACTTACCGGACACCCTGTATACCACGTGGTAATTCTAGACAGCAGCATTTGTTCTTCTGTAGTGCACCTAGGACTTCATAAGTCGATTTCTTTAAATGGAACACCCTGTATGTTTCTCTATATTCTGATACACAATTTTATTCTCTTTCGAACGGTATCAGAGTATATATACCTATCTCTTCTAGTTTTTAAGTTATCTACTATTTTTTGTGTAATCACCTAAAATCATGTAATTTCTTGCGAGGATAGCTATGGAATTTTTAGCAAAACTTCAAAACAAACAACTAAACTGTCACCAGTTATTTATTATTATTTATTCACAGACGTTGCAATGGAATTCTAAGCAGAACATTTACAGTTTTTAATGAGACATATCCCAATGTTCCACCAATGAGCAGAATAAAGTTAAGAAGAATTCTAAAATATCAACTTCATACATAGTAATACACAATTTTAATTATGTATGTTGATAATAATAATGCGCTAAGATAAAAAAAAAATGACTTAAAAAAGTCATAAGTGTTCAATATGACCCCCATCAACAGCTAAGCACTTGTGGATTCTAGAGATAACACCATCAGTCACCGCTTTTACTATTTCAGCTGCAAGCAATTCATGGAACGCTCGTCGTATTCGAGCAATCAAATCCTCTTTTGAAGCAACGGGTGTAGAATAAACTTTTTGCTTTATTACTCCCCAAATATAAAAATCTAATGGAGTGAGGTCGGGAGACCTCACTGGCCAATTCCACGGTCCTAGGCGTCTCATCTATCTATGTTTAAACATTTAAGTCAGCTGTTGATCGATTTGATTGTGACAGTGAGGTGGAGCCCCGTCAAATTGATACCAATACTTCCTTAATTAGTCTAAAGTGATATCATCTAGAAAATCTGCCACAACTGCAAAATATTGAGATATCTGTCGACATTTAAATTTTCTTCGTAAATATGGTAAGAAATTTGGTTGTCTTTAATTAGACAAAAAACATTATTACTAAATTTATTTTGAAAGTTTCTTTCCCGGATATGGAAATGTGCATTTTTAATTCTTACCTCAAGGTGAAACAGTGAACCGTGTGTACTATCAAGACATTTTACAACGGTTACGCCAAAAAATCCGCAAAAAGAGAATAAGACAATGTTTTAAGTGTAAAAAAGAAAAACAAAAATGGAAACGTGGTAAAAAAAATTGCCTGTGATGTTAAATCTGCGATATGTAGGATGGTTTACGGATTTTATTTTCATAATAAACTTCCAACATCAAAATTGAAACTGCAATCTCAGAAGAGGGATATTTGTCTAGATTTCCTCCAAAATTTTTATAGCGTATCTACTACAAATGAAATGAATTTTGTTTGCTTAAAAGTGAATCGAAAGAGTAGCAAATAGAAAACAACGGAATTGTAGTACAGTGAAGAGAATAAAGTGTCGTAGGTATATTTGAATATACCAAGGTGAGTATAAATTTACAAGGATAATCTAGTTTTTACAGAAATCGACATATTTGTTGATCTATATTTAATAATCTTTGGAAAATATTACGTCCATGAAATACTATTCCTCGCACGTCTTACCTGTCGTAGAGATCTATGTCTTAAGGATGAATCTCTCTGGTTACCGTGTTAGGACTCAACTGTAAATACTAAATAAATAACAAATTAGTTTGCTAGTTAATTCTCAAATCGGCTTTTGTTTATTAATTTATTGCTTTTTTTGGCATGGGTATGAAGAGGTCACATATCACATGGGCATAAATTATATTAAAATACTTTCGTTTTCCTCATATATAAAGAGTACTAACGTACAAAATTCTCAGTAATGCTAAGTTTAGGGAAGCCTTATGTTATTGCAGTGAGATTTTATTGCATATTTATTGTATATTTATTTCATATTTATTTTAAAAATTAGTAGGTATCAGAAATAAATATATTTTAGAGTTAAGGTGGTCAACTAGATAATTTCATTTTTATTTATACTTATTTATATCCTTAAATAAAATGGAGATTACGCAAAATCTAGAAGATGATGTTAAGAAAAAAGAAGGGCCAAATTATAACTTTCAAGGTGGAAAGGCAATGGCAAGTGTTAAAGCAGGGGAGGAGATAGTTATTTCAGGTAATTTTCTTTTTTTATACTAAAAAGATATTTTTTTAGTTTTCCGTGCAGGTTTTTTAATTATTCTTATCTTACTTAAATATTTTTTTTAGGTATGTCCGGAGCTTTCCCTAATTCCAATAATATCCACGAATTTAGGGATAATTTATACAATAAGGTCAATATGGTGTTGCCAAATAGAAGGTGGGATCTAATTCACCCAGAAATTCCTCCTTGTTCAGGCACTATTCCAGATATTGAGCAGTATGACCGTGGATTCTTTGGTAAGTGCAAAAACTGTCAGTGATTGATATCCAATTAAATATATATAAAACGTTGAGGTACTAGAAAAACGATAGCTGCTCATTCATGCCAATATGAAAAGTAACACATGATTGTTACATTTCAAATATAACCTTCGAAGGTTTCTATTTCATAACTTTGTTGCGAATTTAGATATATGGATTGCCATCAATAAAGCCCTTGTTGACGTTTTAGACTGTAATCGTTTACACCGATGTTCAAGTGCATGTCTCATCCATTTCGTTGCATTTTAACGAAAACTTGAAATATACTTGAATTAAAATCGGACCATTATTAACGCAAGCAGACCCCCGGCAAAAGAATGCATAAACAATTTGAAATTGCAATTTCGCAAAAAGTAATGGTCCGCCAGCGCCTGCCTTCTGCAAACTTAAAGTTGATATAATTGTCTACTTCTGTGCCAAATTTCAGCTCTTAATTTTCATAAATGACAAAGTTATGAATTTTTTTAAAAATGCCGAATTTTCCGGTTTTTACGGATTTTCTCCGGTTCTTATCAACCGATCGAATCGCTCCACCTCTCATTTTCTTCGAAATTTAATTTCCTACAACTTTTTCATTTACGAAATTGAGATTGCTCTAGTATTTTTGGTTTTATAAGCAAAAAACTAAAAAAAAACGCATTTTTTGCACTAAAACTAATCTGTTTTTAACAAATTAATTAATGAGAGTTGCGAGTCGAAAACACATCAGAGTATATCTACAGACTGTCTTTTAAATGATGGCACAGGTGGTATGCTGTTAATATTTTTGTTAAGATATGATTTTTTTACTCTATTGACTGGCCTATTTATAAATACTTATTTTTCCTTTTACTTACTTTATTAATTTCTCTTCTTATCTATATCTGTATATTATATTTTCTTGATTCTGTTGAACTTCACTTAAACACTTCATTAAATCATAACTTATTTTCACAATCTCACAATCCTTTTATTTTTTTTAACAATAGACTACTGTATATTGTATACAATATATTTTAGTCTTGTAGGACCTGAGGACGAGGTGAAAAAATTGACCTCGTGCCCTGCCCCCCTTGGCGTCGCACCTGCCCCCCTCTAGAAATTCGAAAAAGTACAAAAATTTTCTTAAGCTAAGAAAATATCAGATTGGAATCTTGTTATAAAATATTTTATTTATTTAAACATTAATTTTGAAAATTAACACTACCTACTTTATTTTTCTAAAAAACAATTGTAATAAATTAGCATAAATATTTGTTGACAAAAGAATTTAAAAATATAAAATTTTATGTTAAAAAGTAATACATTTCCATATTTTAAAAATTTTGCTCTGGAATTTTAAATAAAAGAAATTAAATTTTTATCTATAGGAATCAGAATAAAATATAAAATATTAAAAATTCACTACCTATTTTTACCTATAATTTATATTTCTTCCGTCCTTCTGTTCATGCCCCCCCTCCCCAGCCCATTGGCTGGCGACGCCTAAGTTATTATGGAAAACTCACATTTATCAATTTTGAACTTACTTCATTCAATCACTTACTTATTTATTCAGTAATAATATAACTAGATTAGAAATTAGATGATTAATACATGAAACATACACATTTTACATACCATTATCATATAGCGCTTTCAATAGATCTCAATTATCATAAAGACAAAAAGAAATTAAAATTTGAAACCAGTAAATTATGTGAATTTAAATGGTTTGCTAGAACGAGTAGTATCCAGCCAAGTAGAGGTATTGAGGAATCATATTCATTATTTTACATTTAACACTGCTATAAAAAAATAAGTAGAATCTATGACAACAAAAGAAAATTAAACCTTGTATAATCTTAGGATTAATAAGGTCTCTTAGACGTAGGGAAAATTCCAGCAAAGCGGCACTCAACACGTGTTATTTCAAGTGCATGTGGTCATGGTCATAGGGAAAGTTGAATAACGAACAACACTTTCTTTTACTAAAAAAATGTAAACAACAATGTAATTCGGTATATACTACTTGTGTATGTATAAAAACATTTAAAATAAATATTAATAAACATAAAGTAATAAGTATTAAACACACGTATAAAAAAACTGGCAAAAACCAGAAGACTCAATTTATGTTTGATTGAATCTTTAGGTATATTGATAATAATGTAACCTACCATTTGGTATAGTAAATACTAAAACATTTCATTCCTACTGGAATAATTACAACCCCTAGCGGAAATTACCACATTTAATGATGCAAATATTACAGATTAAGATGTTTTATCACCGCCGCGAATAAGTTTCGCTGAAACAAGGGTAGAAACATACCTGATGATGCGATCTATAACCGATCCCATCCAGATTGTGGAACCGTTGACAACGATGCGTAAAACAATTTACGTGTTTTACAATCATACAATGACGTAAATCTTATAATCATTGTTCACTTTATTTTATGTTGATTCGCACGCCTTTGGTACGTGTCCAATAATGACAGCTCTATTTATAAACATGCTGGTACAAAAAAAGGAAAAGAAAGAAATATGTGTTGAAGTAACAGCCTCTAATCTGATAAATTTTCTCAAATCATTTTCATCATCGAATAGGACGATACACTTACAAAGAAACACGCATTCGTAATAGACTACAAGCCAATCGGAAATTTTCAAGGGGTCATTTAACCCAGCATGAATAAATCAATACTACCACATATAACAATAACTTTAGAAACCATGCCGTCAATTCTTGTCGGTACAGATGAGTACACAGGTAAGCTAAACCTATTCACCGAGGGAGGGTGGTTTTCGGCAAAACATTTTTGTACGGCATTTCTAAAGTATATAGGTTATACAAAAAAATGAACCTCCACCTAATGCCGTACAAAAATAGCAATACCGGAAGCCAGGAAAATTTTTGATGTTCCGAAAATTTTGGCCCGGTTTTTGGTGATTTACTACAGTACGGCATTTATACTGCAAGTTTCGGATTGATACGTAGATAACTTTTGACGCCGTACGTATTTGCTGATACAGGGGTTAGAAATGCAGAGCGCCACCCTCTATTTTAGCCCCCCTTGTTTCAAGTCATTGAAAAATGTACGGCATCGATTCCAAATGATTATTTAACTCTCCAAATAATTCTTAGCAACTATGCCGTGAAAATTATGGTTAATGCAAAAGTTTATAAAACAATTACTTGTATTTTGGAATTGAGTTGTACGGCAACCACTTTTTTGATAAAATATAACCAAAAACTATCGTACTAAATCATGGCCGGTTACAATTAATGGTACAAATTAAAATAAACAAATAAATAAATTTTGAAAATTTACAATATTTTGAAAATTCCTTGTTATAAACTAAAGATGTTATATTCAAAATATTATGGCTGTAATTGACTTTTCATAAGTAAAAAAATAAAAAATAAACCAATGCCGTACATTTTTAACTAGTGGATTTTACATAGCTGATAATATTTTTTATTAAATGTTTACTACATTTTTAGATAATAACTATACGGCTTTACAAATTTTCATCAGAAATATAACATAAAGAATGAAAATTACAATGCCGTATATATTCGTTGGAACAATTCTCCGAAACTGTATAAGTCCAAAATGAGTTATATCCTAATTTCAAGAGAAATTTAATTTATACCGTAGAAATTATGATGGCGTTGTCTTTAAGATTAAACAAAATTGTGTATAGAGAATCGAGAAAATATTGTGCACGAGCAAGAAAGTATTATTTTCAAATAAATATAATAATAAACAATTAATTTAACTCAATATTCATGAGAATTCCTATATAAATACTTACATTTAAAACAGTGATATAATATATGTTTTGAAGTACCCTCGCATTTGCATGCATATTTACAACTTCTGTTACAACTCTTTGAACAATTTATTTACGCAAAAATTGTGATGAAGCCATTGGCATACAATATATGTTTAAAATTAGTAAAAATAATTTAAAAGTGCATTTGTTACAAAAACAACTATAAGATTGTGTGAAAAAAAAATTAATATATAAGCTTTTCAAATTTATAAAACTAATAATTTTATATCGACCTATGGTTTTTTAACGGCATATTACTTAAAAATTATTTTACATCTTAAATAATGTTTTAGCAACAATGCCGATCATTTTTCAATGATCGGAAACAATAAGGGTCAAAATAGGGGTTTGCATCCGGGTTTTTTCACTCTGTATCGACAAATATGTACGGCATTACTGAAAAATATTTCTATATGATATTGTAAGTCTTATTATAGAAAGGCCGTACAGTACTAAATAATTTGTATTAAGGAGAAAATAGTAGTAAAAATAAAATCAATTCTTGCAAGTAATACTTATTTGCAAATATATATTTCAAGCCATTTAGAACCATTTTTTTTGTTCGGAATTTTGTTTTTGTTGATTACTGTTGTCAGTATTAACAAAATATATTAATGCCGTACAAAAATTTTTCACCGTGAAATCCTACTTTTCAGATGAAAATTAATTTTCCTATAGTCAGCACATGTTTCATGAAAAATGTACGGCATGGCCAAATATGTCATTATTTTATAAAATCGAATTAAAATTAGTGAATTTGATGTTGGTTCAAATCACCCCCCATACGCTTCTTACAAATAGAGGGTTGCACCCTGTATTCCTAACCCCTGTATCAGCAAGTACGTACGGCGTCGGTTAAAAATTTATCTATGTATCGATCCGAACTTGCAGTATAAATCACCAAAACCCGGGCCAAAGTTTTCGGAAAATCAAAAATTTTCCTGGCTTCCGGTATTGCTATTTTTGTATGGCATTAGGTCGAGGTTATTTTTTTTTTGTATAACCTATATACTTTAGAAATGCCGTACAAAAATGTTTTGCCGAAAACCACCTCCCCTTGGTGAACAGGTTTAGCTTACCTGTGTACTCACCTGTACCAACTAGAATTGACGGCATAGTTTCTAAAGTTATTGTTATATGTGGTAGTATTGATTTATAAGTAATCCATGCTGGGTCAAATGACCCCTTGAAAATTTCCGATGGGCTTGTAGTCTATAACTGCAAAATACAGTATACTACGATGAACGCCACGCCGCCAATGTCTTTCTACCTCGGATGTCGAATGCGGTTAATTCCAAGGAAGTGGCACAGGGGTCTTCTTGGAATTCTATCTCAACAAATATCGTACGAATTGTAATTCCTAGTGCAAATCATCTATAGTGACTCCAGTTTATAACAATCATGTGAGAAGTGAAACTATAAATTATAGACCTATATCTCTAATAAATAACTTAAAATAAACGGGTTGATTGAGTTTCTTAGAAGTCGAAAATATCAATAATCAATTTGGGTGAAACTACTGAAGATGCAGGAATTAATGAAGTAATTAATCAAATTAATAACGGCGAAAGAATGTACATATTTATGGACCTAACTAAGGCATTCAACACTTATTAGAAAAATTGTATGGCATTGGAATAAAAGGACATGTATAAGATTTATTTAAATGTTATAAAAAAAATGAATTCAAAGAGTTAAAATTAATAACACTATTGATAAACTATTAGAAATAGAAATAGGTGTCCCACAAGGCAGTGCCTTGGACCTACATATTTTTTAATGTATGTTAATGAAATTGCAAATTTATTTAACAATGGCAAGATGTTTTCTTAGGCAGATGATACAGCTATCATAATTCATAGAGACAACTGGAAAGATGCATATAAAAATACAAAAAACAAGCTGAAAGAAAAAATATTTGAAATTAACCCAGCTATCATTGGTCAAAGTTTGTCATAGAGCTTGTAAAACACCCTGTATTATTACAGTTCATCAATTTATGATGTAAAAATAAAACAAGATTATACATTTTACACAACTATATGAAACAAGAGCTACAACAAATAATGCAATTCAGATAGCATTAATTAAAATACATCGTCTCCAGAAATGTATGTTTTTTATGCTTCGAGATTCTTTATCTTAGTTCCTGTTCAATTAAAAAATATATGAATAACAAAAAATAAAAGACATTAATTAAAACATTTTTAATTCAAAATTATACAAAATTTTAACAAATAAATGTACTATTGCCTGTACAGAGAACAGAAACATGCTAGCAAGACAAATTTTTAGTCTAGCTGAAGTTGCTGGACTCGAAATTCTAAAACGAATTTTGCAAAATATTTTGTTTTTTTTGTATAAGAAATCGTTTAACATGTTAAAAATTACTGATTAAATCACTTTATTCTCTCAGTAATGTTTCTATTCCATTATACTGTTTTAATTTGTGTCCATTCTTCCCCTATTCTTTTTTATATATTCACTTATTTATTTTTATTTACTAAGGCGTTCACGAACGACAATCAGATTCACTGGACCCAGTAATATCACTAGTTCAAGAGAAAACAATAGAAGCCATTTTGGATGCAGGTTTAAACCCTCTCGACCTGGAGAACACCAGGACTGGTGTATTCATGGGCGCTTGTTATTGTGAAAATGATAAAATGTGCTACTTCGTCAACCTGATCCCAAATTCCTACACTATGACTGGGTAAGTGCAAGATAAACAATTTGTGAGATATTTGAGTACCTAAGTACTTAAATAAAATAAAATATTAAAATTTGAGAACCTAAGTACTTAAATGTGGGAAACCAGAGGTTTCTCATCATTCATTTATAAGGACTTTGAACTTTGGGTGTAAAATGATCCAATGTTGTCATGTAAACAAAGGATTGCAACTTTTTTAATTACCTACATCACATTTTCTTTTATTTTAAACTCATTTTGTTGCAGAGCGCAAAGGTCTATGATAGCACATCGACTGAGTTACTTCTTAAAATTGAAAGGGCCGTCGTACGTAACCGACACAGCTTGTAGTAGTTCTTTGTACGCATTTGAACATGCTTACCAAGCCCTTCGACGAGGAGAGATTGACAACGCCATCGTCGGTGGAGTGAACTTGTGTTTGCATCCGTTACAAACGCTGCAGTTTGCAAGGTGAGTAAATCATATTTTTCATCAAAAGATTCCAAAAATTTTTGGCGTTTTCCCATTTCAATTATTCAGCTGTACATTCGTTCACCAATGTTCTCATCAACGTATTGTAAATGCTTTTTTTTTCTGAATAAACGTTTACGAGTTTCTAAGACATTTAGAATGTTTATAATGACATTCAGATTGGGAGTTCTAAGTAAGGACGGTACTTGCAAATCATTCGATGAAGAAGGTAACGGCTATGTCAGGTCAGAAGCTGTGGCGGTTCTGTTTCTTCAGAGGACCAAAAATGCCAAAAGAATATATGCTGAGGTGGTTTACGCCAAAACGAATTGCGACGGATATAAGGAGCAAGGAATCACTTTTCCCTCCAAAGAAAGGCAAGGGGAGCTGCTGACTGAATTCTATGACGAATGTGGAGTCGACAGATACAGTCTCAGCTTCTTGGAGGCCCACGGGACAGGTAATGTCATTATTGTTACTGATTATCTGTTGAAATTGTGTACTAATAATACAAATAATTTATTTTGAAGGTACTACCGTTGGAGATCCGGAAGAATGTTCTGCCATCGATGACGTTCTCGCAAAGCGGAGAACAGAACCTTTGCTGATAGGTTCCGTCAAATCAAACATCGGACATTCAGAACCAACATCTGGTGTCTGTTCGATTATTAAGGTAAACAACTGACTCTTAATTCTTCCAATAAATATCAATTGATGTGAAGTAACAACAATTGAGGAAAATTTGAATAAAAGTTTTGTCTTCTGTGACCCTTTTGTACACGGATATTCTCATACCATTCTGTCCTCCTTATATATTTTGCCTTTTTATCTAGGAAATAATTGTAAAGACCAATTTTCTTACGATCTCAAAGAAATACATAAGAATGTTATGGGAACGCCTCTATACATACAATGTTCCCACAATTGTGTACTGTACAGAAAACACTTTTTTACTTGTAAATTTATCTTTCTTTATGAAAATTTCTACTTGTCATCAAACTCTTAAAAATATTTCGCGGTTTTATGCCGGATGGTTGAAAGTGAGTGGCCAATTAGATTATTTCAGAACCTACTTTGATTTAAATTTAGAAAATTCACACTAGGGTTTTTGGATGTGCTGTAGGTATTCAAATTTAATAATTTTGTTCCTGTAACATTTCCGGTTATAACGGAAGTTGACGTCAACTGTAAATGGAACACTATGTATATTTTTACATTTTTGGATTCTACACTTCATTTTAAGGTGACTTTTATCAAGTTTCCTTATTCCTAAAATTATCCGTTTTCGAGATATTTAACTTTTTAGGAAAAAAAATTAAAAATCAGAACCTACTTTAAAACCGTACGCATTCTACAGTTAGACAGATAAAGCAGGAGCAGGAGCTAAATACCTAAGCTGCATAACCATAGCTTTAGAGTTGCCGAATCTTATACAGGGTGATGATGATTCAATACCGAGTTTGGTCCAATGGAAACCATCTAAACATGATTTTTTGTAATGAAACATTTTTTCAAATTTGAATGCCTTTTTATTCTCTTTCTATCTATACTATGGTTCCCTATACTTATATCTTCTAGTTTTTATGTTATTTGAAGTTATTTGATGGGTACTCTACTAAAATAGATTAATATTATTACCTGTTACGTATTCGTATTTAACTGCGAGGGTGGAGGGACTTTAAAACAAATGGCAAAGTTATCAACCATTATTTGTCATCAAGAAATTGTTGTCAACTTGCGGTATAACCGGAAGTGTTAGAGGAACAAAATTATTGGATTTGTAAAGAGCACACCCAACCCTAGTGTGCCAATTTTCAAAATTTAAATTGAAGTAGGTTCTGAAATAATCTAATATGTCACTCATTTTTAGCCACATGGTATAAAGAGATTACATTTTTTGACAAATTTTAAAGTTGTTCCTAGCAAAATACCCATTTTTTTAACATCGAAGGATATCACTAGGAGATATTATTAAGAAATCCAAAAATTCTGAAATTTTGCAATTCCACACAAAATTTTGAGAAAACTATGAGCCCCAAAAATGTTCGGACGCCACATTATGTATGCATTATAATATGTATATAAATTTTATATAATTCTTAAATAAAATTTTCAAATTCACCTCAACTATATCAATCCAATCAATTTGTGACAATCAATGATTGTCACAAATTCAGAGGTTCTCAATTTCAGAGGTCGTTTTCTTACAATTGTGTTAAATAATTTAATAAACTTCCAAAGGACATTAGGTCTACACCATATTATACTGGGTGTTTCATGAAGTTCTCCCGGCACTAATAGAGGATGTTCCTTGGGTTATTTCTAGAAAAAAAGTTTATATAAACATGTGTCCGATTTGCTTTACTTTGTGAGCTACATGAATTTGAAATTTAAATATAAAAAGTAATAATCAAATTTGTTGCGTTACGTCTCGGCGCGCTACGCATTGGTCAAGTAGTGTGCTCTGACGACATTTGCAAGGTAAAATGTTATCTAGGTTACTGTCAGTTTTGACAAGCTTGCAGTTTAGTGTGAAGATTCAATTTTGCAAATTCGCGAACAATGCCTTTTAAGTTTACGACTGCTGAGTATGCCGATATGGTGTTTGTTTTGGGTAATTGCGATGGAAATGCTACTCTAGCTTCACTGGAATATCAACGGCGTTTCCCAAATCGTCGCATTCCATCCCCGAAAACGTTTACTACAACTTTTCATGCACTCAGAGAAACTGGTCCACTTCTAAGTGTTCGCATTCGCTACGAACGGGTAAGTCGGCAGAGTGTTGTAGAAGAGAATATCCTTGCTATGGCTGAGCGTAATCCCGGTGTTAGTACACGACGGATATCCACGCCTTTAGTGATTCCCAATACTAGGGTATGGAGAACATTAAACAAGAATCTGTTGTATCCATACCATCTACAACGTGTTCAACATCTGGAGCCAGAAGATTTCCCTAGGCGGGTAGAATTTTGTCAGTGGTTGAATAATAATAGGAATTTGTATCGCTACATCTTATTTACGGACGAGTCACAATTTACCAGAGACGGTATCAACAACACCCATAACATGCATCAATAGTCGGACGTCAACCCTCATGCCACCGTAGAAAGTAATTTTCAACGTAGATTTACCATTAATGTGTGGTGTGGAATGTTATACGATCAACTTATAGGGCCATTTATTATTGAAGGTCGTCTTAATGGACCAAAGTATCTATAATTTTTAGAGGAAGAACTCCCGCGATTGCTTGAAGATGTACCTCTGGCAAGACGATTAAGAATGTACTTGCAACATGATGGAGCTCCACCCATATTTCCCAAATTGTCACTGTTCACCTAAATGAGCATTACCCTGGTCGCTGGATCGGCCGAGGTGGGCCACACATTTGGCCAGCTAGGTCTCCGGACTTCAATCCGTTAGATTACAACATGTGGGGTTGGATGAAGGATTTGGTTTATCAAGAGAATGTGGAAAGCGCGAAGCTCTAATCCAAAGAATTGTTAATGCTGCAACGCAAATAAAAGAAAAGCACGCGAATATTAGAAATGCAACGCGAGCAATTCACAGGCGTGCTGACAAATGTATTGAAGTAGGAGGTGGAATTTTCGAAAACCTTTTAAATTAAGAATGTATATGTATCACTATTACCGATGTTCTAAAAATAAAAATGAAAATTTAATTTCCATTATTTTATTTTCAAATTCGTGTAGCTCAATAAGTAAAGCAAATCGGACACATACTTATACCAACTTTTTTCCTAGAAATAACCCAAGGAACATCCTCTATTAGTGCCGGGAAAACTTCATGAAACACCCGGTATTTGCACTTCGTTTCGTAAGTGTAAAAAAGTACATACCTACTTAATGTCTAAGAGACTATAGAATATTTTTTGTATTATTTCAGCTTGTTGATCAATTGTACGGTAGCGTTTCTTCTTTGAAATTATGTTTAAAATGTACGCCGCCATTTACTTTGTAAATACTATTTTTTATAAATTTGCTAATTTATTATAAAACTAATAAAGATGAAAATTATTTATTTATTTATTTAAATTCAGTAGCCAAGTAGCTACAACAAAATGTTGTGACAAGAATACGCTCGGACGGAAGAGTTTGCTTATGATTTAGTAATTCATAACGTCTGCTTTGTCCTTTGGCATGACATTTGGTATGACAATGACATTTAAATCTGCAAACATATTTTTTTATGTAAGTTTGGTCGTATGACAGAGGATGCATCGTCCTGCTGGAAAATCAAATTTTTGTCTCCAATACATTTTTCTCCCAAATGGAATAAACTATCAAATTACTTTATCAAATTTTTTAAGAGCCAGTGGTGTAGAAATTATACTGAAAAAGCGAATAGTCACCATAAATCTCTCTGAACTATGTACATTATTTAACACTGAGTAGTTTTTCGAGAATGTTTTCGAACAATTTCTTTTGAGAGGTTTCGAAAATATTTTTATATGTTTTATGAATCCTTGAAGTTTCTTGGTTCATTTTTGTTACACGCTATATATGATATATGAATAACAATAACTTTCTAGTGTATTATTGGTATGGAAACTGGGTTTATTCCTCCTAACATACATTATAATAAACCAAGGCCAGAGATAAAAGGACTAGTAGAAGGAAGAATGAAAGTGGTTACAGAAAAACTGAAATTAATGGACGACAAAGGATTAATGGGTAATATTTTATGTTTCATTTACTTCTTTTTCTAACTTGGCTTTTTAGGTATTAATAGTTTTGGGTTTGGTGGTGGTAACGGCCATGTATTATTGAGGTGGAATCCCAAGACTAAAGTCAATAATCATGGTATTCCAAAGGACAATCTACCTAGACTCGTATGTGTGAGTGGAAGAACAGAAGAAGCTGTTAGAAGCTTACTCAGTACTGTTGATGTTAATAAATTTGACACTGAATATATAAAAATATTACAAGAAAGTTTCAGGTGCGACTTTTGATATTTCAAATAGCTGTATTCTTGTGAAGGAAAATCATTTGATGTATTTTGTAGGAATAATATAGAAACCCATATGTTTAGAGGTTACACTATAGTATCCCGTTATAATGAATATGGATCATCTGTCAAATTCCTCAAATATTTTCCTCACGATTCTGTACCACTCTATTTTGACTTTGGGAAGATGAATAAATGGTATGACATCGGCTATGATCTCATGGCACTCTCTGCATTCTCCAGGTGTATTCAAAGGTAAAAAAAATAGAAATATTAGATGACAGAAGTTGATCATCAACTTAAAAAACTTTCCAGAAAGTGAGACATAATAATAACTGTACATGATAATCTCATAATATTTATTTAATTATGAAATACAGTCAATATTTTAATAATAATATCTTTTAAATGTCTGACTGAATTAATTTTGGTATATTTTCAAAGGTGAGTTGAATTTTCAAATTAAAGTCAGAAATTGTTTCTCCTGTAAAGCAGAGATATTTTACATAACACCATAGGAAAAAGTCCAAGGGGTGAAATCACATGATCTTGATGGCCAGTTGACATCAGCATTTCTGGAACTAACTCATCCAGGAAACTATTGTTACAATAATTCAATTATCTTACGAGATGTGTGACAAGTCGCACAATCTTCTTGAAAGAAAAAACATTGTCTATGTCAGCATATAGCAGTTTAGGCAGAAGATATTCTGTTGGCAT